TTTTCTGTGTAACGAATAATGAATCTTTTGTTTCTGACCTAGGAGTCTCGTGTTTTCTACCAGTGACAGATTCTACTATGGTGTCATCAGACTTAATTAGATTGGATATTATAAAATACTGATTTATAACCACATTTTTCTTTCCAAATCTCTTCCATAATTTCCACAAGAAGATCCATGGGCTTGAAAATTCTCTGTGAAATACTTTTAGTAAACTCCTTGCAAACAAACACATTTTCCATTTCAGTGTATGTCTTTTAAGCTTCAAGTTAGTTTTCTTCCCTGAAGTTTACTACTGCTCTGGGTCCTCACAGAGGACCCAGATCTCGCCTCTGCCTAGATCTCTGACTTTTTACATCACACAAGCACTTGTTTGGATATGAGTTCTGATGGTTTCTTGCATTTTCTCTAGCTAAAGTATAAGTTTGGTGGAGGTTGATATTTGTGTTTGGCATCTCCCTTCACTCCCTGTAATTCTCTAATAATCCTTCCACAATAGGTGCTCAGTTAAGTGGTCACATTGTTTGGGCATCTGTTAAGGGCCTTAAGATACAGGCAATGGAACCAGTCTGGATATTCATCAACAGATGAAGGAATAAAGAAGCATATACACAATGGGATTTATGCAGCCATAACGAAAAATGAAATCATGACATCCACAGGAAAATAAATCCAACTGGAAATTGTTGTATTAAGTGAAGTAAGCCAGACTCAGACAAATGCCATATTTTTTTCTTATGGGTAGAACTTAGGTTTAAAATTATTCATGTATTTATGTCTTTACACATGTCTGTGTATTTATATATGTGTGTGGGCAGGTCATAAAACTAGACTGGGGATCGTGAGAAGTGAGGAAGAGATCTTCAGGGAACTGGGGAACAGGGAAATGGAATACGTCTAACAGGAAAGCAGGAGTGACAAACCCAGGAGAGGAGGGAAGCCAACTGGGGGTGGAGAAGAGACACAGGGAAGGCAGCGTAGGAAGGGACTGCATGAGCACAGAGTGTAATGACACATGGATGAAGGTGCCACGATGAAGTGATGAAACCCATGATTAGTATGCTAAGCTAAACAATTGGGGACAGAGAGGTGGCTCAGTGGTTAAGAACACTGACTGTTCTTGCAGAAGATCCAGGTTTGAATCCCAGCACCCACATGGCAGCTAACACAACTATCTGTAACTCCTGTTCCAGGTGATCCAGCAGCCTCTTCTGTCTTCCGTGGGCATTGTACGACACGGATGCACCTACATACATGCAGGCATAACACTCATACACATAAAATAAAAATAATAAATAAATATTTTAAAAAACAATAAAGGGGGGCTGGAGTTAGAAGACAGTCATAGTTTATGCTTTCCATGTTGAGCTGCAAAATTAACTACAGTTAACTGGTATAGGTCAAAAGACCTGAACTTTTGAGTCTCTGTCCTGTGACTTAATCTAGTGATCTTTAGCATATGATTTAGCACCTGTGTATTTATTAAATATTTATTAATCCCTAAGTAGTTTGTGGGTTTTTTATTATTGTTGTTTTGAGACAGGGTTTTACTATGTAGTCCTGAATGATCTGGAACCTGCTATATAGACCAGGGTAGCCTCAAACTCAGAGATTCACCTGTCTCCGCCTCCTGAGTGCTGGGATTTAAGGTGTGTGCCACCACTCCAACTTCTAAATTATCTTTTAACAAAACACCTAAGACAGTTTGTTAGTACTTTTGTGTTGCTTTAACAAGACACCTAAGGCAGGGTAATTCATTTTAAAATTTTATTTATTATTAATTTTTGTGTGTATGAGTGTATTGTCTGCAGGTTATGTAAATGCACCCTTGTTATGCAGTGCCCACAGAGGTCAGAAGAGGGCTTCGGATACCGTGGAACAGGAGTTACAGACATTTGTAGCTGCCATGAGGGTGCTGGGAATCGAACCTGGGTCTTCTGCAAGAGAAGTCAGTGCTCTTAACTGATAAACCATCTTTCCAGCCCCCAAGAAATGCCTTTTAAAAAGAGATTCAATTAGTTCACAGTTTTAGTGACTAGAAAATTCAAAGAGCTTGTGGTACCAGCACCTGGGCGAGGCACCTTTGGCTCTATCAGAACATGGCAGAGAAGCAAAAGGAGAAGCAGGGCTGTGCAAAAGACCAAGCATGTGAACACTTTTTTTTTTTTTTTTTCTGTCTTTTTGAGACCAAAAGGGTCTCCTCAGCTGGCCTGGAACTAACTTGCTATATAGAGCAGGTTGGCCTTGATATCACAGAGATTCACCTGCCTCCACTGGAATTAAGGCATGTGGCACCATGCCTGACTTATAACACTCTTAACTAGACCAGTCCTATGAGACTACTCCTGTTAGAATGGCATTAATCCACCAATCCCTTTTGAGAGTGGTGCCCCCATCGTCCATGACATCTCTTAAAGACCCTGCCACCTCTCAACAACAACACACTGGGGACTGAGCTTCAACTTGGGTTTTACTGAGGACAAACCATATTGTGACCTTAGAACATATAATTAATCTACAGCAGTGGCTCTCTAAGTGTGATAACTTGGTCAGTATTATATTAGTTACTTTTCTTGTTACTGTCACCAAATACCTGTCAAGAAGAAATGTAAAGGAGGAAGGACTCATTATGGCTCACAGTTTGAGAGTACAGTCCATTATGGTGGTGAGGCATGGTGGCAGAAACAGGCAGCTGGTCACATTGAATCTGCAGTCAGGAAGCAGAGAGGTGATTGGTGCACAGGATGTTTTCTCCTTTTTTTTTTTTTTCTTTTTTTTTTTTCGTTCACTCCAGAACCCTAAATTCATGAAACAGTACTGCCCACATTCAGGGGAGTCTTCCCTTCTCACTTAATCCTCTCTGGAAATGCCCTCACTGACTTGTCCAGAGATGTGTCTCCTAGGTGATTCTAAATCCAGTAAAGATGACAAAGAAGATTAGCCATTGCAGACATCAACTAGGAACTTATTTTAAAAATGCATGTTATTGAACCTCACCCCAGCGCTATTGAATCAGAAGCTCTGCCCTTTCACAAGCCTCCAAAAAGTCCTCCAGGTGATTCTGATTTGTGGTAAAGGTTAAGAATTGCCGAGCTACAGCCTAGGCAAATCCCAGCCTAGACTCCACCCCAGTCTCAGCAGTGAAGAGGGTGCAGCAATTTCACAGTTGGCAATGAAAACCAGTGTCTTACATTTCAGCTTTAAGGCTCTGTAGAATGGCTCACCATTGCATCATATTGAAGTTTCCAGATACCACTCGGAGAATTTCAGCTCCCTAGCTCCCATAAAATAATGGCAATCGAGGAGTGAAAAATCTTTCTTAAGGTGAACAAAGACCATGCAATGAATAAGGGATTAATTTCCAGTGGCAGTATCCTAATTTTGTATTCAAAACATTGCATGCTTGCTAGACTATCCATGCAACATCTGCTGCTATGTATTAGGTAATTGGGCACCCAGCAGCCCCATTTGCATGCAAAGGTAGTTGCACACCTCACATTACAAGTCTAAAATTAAAGTCCAGGATGAAGCTGGCTGAAGGCTGGCTGCTAGGAAAGTAATGAGATAAGGAAAAATGGTTTCTGTTAATCAGCACTTTTGGCCTCTACTGTTCTGCCTTTGTAGATTTGCCCTTTGAAATGGTACATTCCAGGTTGAAGGAAGACTTCTAAGAGTATCTAGGGTTTTTGTTTTAATCCTACACTTAGAAGCTGGTTGCGTTTATCCACATCATTTTCTTCACAACTGCGCCGTTATGTATGTTGTAGTCTGTTGCTGTACGTACTGTATTTCTGCCTTATGAAGTATCCTGTTCTGGTGGGACCACACACACCAACTCAGAAAAGAGCTGCCCCCAGCATGGACTTAGAGTCGCAGATCTAGAGCTGGGACCTGTGGCCTTTTACTTAGTCCACATTTCATCATGCAGCCACAGTATGCCAGACACTGTGCTGCAGATCTGGAATGCATATCAGCCAAGCCCACCTCTGCCCTCAAAAGCTCACAGTATTCTACCTGTCTTATTTCTCAGTATTCCTGGTGTATCCATGTGGAATGTTTTTGCTTACAAGAAAGAGGCTGGGGAGGTGGCTCAGTGGGTAAAGTGCTTGCTGCGGAAGCATGAGAACCTGAGTTTAGGTCCCCAGAAGCCAAGTAAAAAGCCAACAGGGAGTGTCTTTAATCCCAGTGCTATAAGGGGGTGGGGTGGGGACAGAAGCAAGTGAATCCTGGAAGCTCTATGACTAGCTAGTCTAGCTGAAACAGAGAGCTATAGGTTGAAAAGTAAGGTGGAGAGCAATAGAGGAAGACATGCAATGTCAACCTCTAGTCCCCACATATAGGAAAGTGTACCCACACGCACAAGTGCACAATCCTACACCTCACACACAAAATAAAAGAAACAAAACGTCTTCCTGGATCCCCATGTTTGAAATGTCCTTGCTTCTCTGGGCTCCTGATTATGTTCAACCTTTGTCCTCAGTGAATGAGGAACCCAGTAGACCCAGGCTTATAAGAGTTAAAACCTAAAATCACCAAACTGAGACCAGTGGGTTACTGAACTACATCACAAAGAGGATGTGACTGCATGGCAGATGACTAGAGCTCTTGTTTGTGGGAACAAAAAAAATGCAATGGATACCCTGCTGCTTTATTTTCTCCTAAAGTGGGTCTACAAGGAAGAGTATCAGTCTTAAAGGGATTGATTCACAGGCACCACCTAGTGTCCTACAAGGGCAGTCTACAAAGAACCAGTGGTTTTGGAGCAGAGCAAGAATGTGTCACTCCACACACAGCTTTATATTTCCTTAATCACAATCATCTGTCTTTCCTGTCCATTTTTCTTTCAACTAGATTAGAAGTTACTAGAATATAGAGCAAGTTCTGAAGAAGGCTATCTTTGCCAATTCTTATCTGATGGCGATTAGAAGGAAGGCGGTCTGCTGGCTTCTGTCCCTTCGCAGCTTGTCATGATAATAAACACCTTTTTCTTTTCGTTCTAGCACAGGCACATATACCTTGATAGCACCAAATGAAAATCGAAGACAACAGATACAGAGAAGTATGTACACTTATTCACTTAACATTCAGAATGCTTCTTGATTTCTTTATAATTGGTTTGTTTTGAAGTAGTTTTATTTTCTTATATAGACTTACAGAATCTCATCAAGGTCTTTTCTTTAACTTTAGCAGTTTTAATTATACTTTAAAAGTCATTCTATTGTTAGTACTTCTAAGCTTGTTTCTCTACATTAGTAACAAAACTCATGGCACGATTGTAAGTCTGGGATTTCTGTTGTGCTTAAACAACTTCACACCTATTGTTGTTGGTTGGATCTTGTCCTTGTAATGTCGGGCTGATGGCTGATCCATGAATATCTTTGAAATAGACAAGCCATGTATCAGATAGATCATGAAGTAATTTGTACTTTTCTTGATACATCCCATCCCTTCTTAATGGCTTTTTTTCCCTTTAGTTTTACACTCCCATAGTTTTGGAACTGTCAGTTTACCCTCCATGGTTTTATCTGTGTAATTCACTTTTCTAGATCATCACCTGGAGGACAGAGACCAAATCTTAGTGTGTGTGTGTGTGTGTGTGTGTGTGTGTGTGTCCCATGCGCTCCTTGTACATGGATAACATGTCTAATTGAGATGCATTATTACAAATGGCACCTTCTAAAGCTATAACATTATCTTTAGTTGAAAGGAAATACAAAGTTCATTTAGCTCACAAGGACTTCGTGAGACTTGTTCAAATCAAGCTGTGGTACTAGGTATGAAATTCTATGTTCTCCCATATTAGGTCATTAGTAGGATATTTAGTGACTGATGATGGACATAAGGACACAGCAAGAAAGCAGTTATCTAAAGGGTCCTCACTAGACAAGTAGGTACCTGGGTGGTACAGTGGGTCAGTGTAGAAGATGGCAGAGCATTGCATTGACTCTAGGAACTACAGACATTGCCCAACACAGCTCAAGGTTGTGATATCCTACAGACTTTTTATTCAAATGCTTAGCAGGGATTTAAGTCTCAGTGTTGCCTGAATTTTGAGATGTTTCAGATTTTTAAAAAATAATTAAATCTTATCAATGGACATTTGAGACAGTTCAGTCTAACTGGGAGATCAAGATATGCATCGGAGCAACAAAATTTGTGTCTCCCAGGCAGCCCCTGCTGTCTCAAAGGGTAAATATTTGGGCAATGATTTGGGGCTTCCCAGGAAGCAGGCCAGGACCCAGAGCAGGAGTGCTCCACAGAGTCACACTCCCTACCCAGTTCCTCAGAGTTGCATCAAGCTTGGGGAACATGAAAAACATAAGCAAATATAGGTGTCAGAATTATTTGGGTATGTATATTTACTTGTGTGTGAAAAATTCTTATTGACATATGAATATTCTAGTTTTTGTACACATTTGCTACAGGAAACTTAGGATTAATGCAAGAGGCTTTAAGAACGATAGTATTAGAGGGAAAACTGCATTTCTTTATTTTAGTAGGAGTTCAGGTTGTTCAAATTTGCATCTTCTCTGCAGACTCTTTTAACAAGTTATTTGTTATTTTTATTTTATGTGTATGAGTGTATTGCCTACATGCATGCAAATGCACTGGTGTCATGCAATGCAATGGAGGTCAGAAGGCAGTTCGGATCCCCTGGAACTGAAGTTACGAATGGAGCTGCCATATGGGTGATGGGAACCGAAACTGAGTTCTCTGCAAGAGCAGCCAGGGCTCCTGACTGCTGAGTCATCTCTCCAGACCTTTTTTAGAGGAAGTGCGAGTGTGATTCTAGGAAGTGGGGCTGGGAGGTGCCATCTTTTCTAGGACATTTTGTCCTTTCATCCTGGAAAGTCATTGATTGCTGACTGGTGGCCATTTCTATGTTTGAAATGACCAGGTTTCTTTCTAAATTTTAACAATGAATGATTTCCAATTTCTCATGTGCTTAGTTGCTGAGCAAGAGCTGGCAAACCTGGAGGAGTGGAAGAAACAGAACAGAGCCAAACCAGTTCACTTGGTGCCCCGGCAGCTGGGTAAGTGGCAAGCCAACAGCCAGAACAGGGAGACAGTCGTGCACAGATCCTGCTGGGACCCACTGAGATCTGCTGGATCTGCCTTCATACTGAGAGCCTGTTTGAGTTGCTGGGGATGGCCTGTATTTGACACTGACACATTGAAATGTACTGGTAGATTGTTGCTGGTTTTCTACAAGTAGCAAATGCATGCCGCCAGAGTTATGTGGGAATACAGTGATGGCTTAATTGGCAAATAATTTAAAGCCTCTTAGATGATCAGCTCTGAAGAAAGCTTACCTGGGGCGCTGCATATGCCCTGTCATAGCACTAGTCAGGATGAGAGGAAGAGCTATCACAGCATATTCATCATGGCAGTTAAATGCTAATGTGACAGAAATGAAGGGAGAGTTAATTCTGAAAGCAAGATGAGAGCAAGCTGGGCATGCAGTGGTGGGGACAAAGACAAATGTCATTTGGGTTTTCATGCTAGGGATGGAGACCTTTGGACTGCCAGAGCAGGTGCTGCCAGCGTGATGGACTGTTTGGGCCACCTCTGTGGGGTTTTAGGCTTTCAGAGGGGATGCCACCCAAAGAGAATCAGTAGCTTCCTGTCTTCTCTGTTCTCTACAGCCATAGCTTAGAACTTAAAGGCTGAGTGGTCTTCTCTAGATCCAGTTAATACAAATGTGTTTTAAGGCAGTGGCCACTTACTGTCATGATAGTCTTTTTAAATATTTTATTTATTATTTTACGTGTATGAGTGTATTGCTTGCATGTACCCAGGGAAGCTAGAAGAGGATGTCAGATCCCCTGGAACTGGAAGTACTTACAGTTTTTAGCCACCAGGTGGGTGCTGGGAATCGAATGCAGGTCCTCTGCAAGAGCAGCCGGTACTCCCAAATGCTAAGCCATCTCTCCAGTGTCTTAGCGATATAGGTGTGAAAGAAAGTTCCTGGGGAGGGTTGGGGGCAAAAACATTTATCTTTAAACCGAACCTCTGCAAGACTGATCAGCTGATTAGAACTTTAGTGATTAGGGAGAATTTGGAATGTTGCAGGTCTAGAGCCTAATTACAATTTATCTTGATCTATCTTAAGCCCCCTAAATAGTTATTCTTTGCCGATCTCTGTCTCAGACCTAACACCCTGTGACTAACAGATGAAAACCTTTTGGGATGTGTTAACAAAACCCTAGCTTTCCACCAACCAAAAAGCTGAATATCATCAGATAGCATCTGAGGCCTATAGCTGAGATTTCTCTTTTGCTGTAACTGCCTACTTAGTGTTTCCTAATGTATTTAAGAAGTATCTTGATTTATGGCTTGCTTTGTTCTGTTACTATAAAAACTTTAAGAAACTGCTTCCATGTTGGAACATGGAATTTTGGGTGACCTGAATCTGTGTTCCTCAGCCACAGTTCCTCATATTTGACTCCAGAATAAACTATCTCTCATCTCCTTTGAGGTAAGAAGTTGTGCTTATGTGTCAACATAGGAAAAATAAACTAATTAGGAAATCATTTAAAGAATGGAAGTGTTAGAACTATAGCAGTCACTTACTTCACTGTATTTCATAATAGTGAAGCTCAAGTCTCATCCTTATGCTGAATAAGCCAAATTTGAGCTTTTGGGCACAGCCAAAAGCAATCCATTTTAAGAAATCCCTTCAAGCTGGCTGTGTGGGATTAGACTTTCCCATGGTTTTGGATTGAATGAGAAATTAATTTTTTGTCTTCTCAGATTATAAAGTTAGCTAGCTAATTCTAGGTCTAAGACAGTTTCATTCTAGTAATTAGTGCTTAGACCTAGGAACTGGCCAAACTCTTTTCATGGAAAGTAAAGCTTCCTTCTGCATCAGCTCAGGCTATTTAGGGAGGAAGCTAGCAAGGGAGTTAGGGTGTGGCAAGACTGTCCTCTACTGATTGCTCTGCTCCTGGATTCTGACTTCTCCAGGATTAGAGAGGAAGAGGAGATGGGGGGGGGGTAAAATGTCCAGCGCAGTGACCACCTGACCACTACACTTGAGGTTCTTTGATTTCTTCAGTGTCCGGCCTCTGTTCCATCCCTCACCTTATTTACCTGATAAAGATGATACCTTCCCGCTGGCAGTTCTTAGCCTCAGTGTTGGTTCCTAGAAGTCTTTGTAGGGTCCATTGTTTTCTAGGTGGTGCTCATAGACAAGTACCTTCAGGATGACTTCAGGATGGCTAGATTGGTATTCTTTCAGGAGAGCCTCACTGGAAGTGCTGACAACACTGGTGAATCTTTTCTCTTCCAAATTCTGGAAGACAGGCCATTTATGATGTGGCTTCTTCCTTCTCCTCCTCTTCCTCCTGGTCTTTTTATTTTATTATTTTTATTTTATGTGTATGAGTGTATTGCCTTCGTGTATGTGAGTATACCCATGTCATGCAATGCCACAGAGGTTAGAAGAGGGCATTGGATTCCTCTGGAACTGGAGCTACAGATGGTTCGCAGCTGCCATGTGGGTGCTGGGAATTGAACCCCAGACCTCTGCAAGAGCAGTCAGTGCTCTTAACTGCTAAACCATCCCTTCAGCCCCTCTCCTGGTCTTTTTAAAGACAGGCTCTCATAGCCCTGGCTGGCCTCGAACTCATAAACTTCCTGCCTCCGTCTCCTTAGTGCTGAGATTCCAGGCTTGTAGCTCCATGCCCAGCATCAGTTACTTCTTCCTAAGGACTCATCTGACCACAGTCTTGTGCCTTTGGATTTCGACTTTCTCGCATCTCTTATGTGCCTAGGAAAGTAAAGTGAGGTCTTCAGGTAATTTTCATTAAACCTCCCAATCATTTTAGTGAACACTCCTTTTCCTAAACATGGAACTCTGGAAGATATCCTTCCTCAGATTTCTCCTCTTATTCAACTTCTTTTTATAGGCCAAGGGTAATTGCTAGAGAAGATTCTTCAAACTGGTTCTTAATTCTTCCTCCTAGGTCTTTCTCTGAGGGCCAAGGACCTCACTCTGGAATTTTGAGCAGTTGGCAGCTGTTGCTTTACAGCCTTTGTAGAAAATTAGCACAGTCCTAATTTTAAACTTTCTACTATATGAAGTATTTAGAAATAGTCAAGTATGTGTGTTTGTTGAAGGAGGGATCATGTAAAAAGAAAATTCTAAAATGTATTAAAATTTTTTGGGGGGGTCTTTTTGAGACAGGGTCTCCCTGTAGCCCCAACTGCCTGGAACTCATTACGTAGACCAGGCTGGCCTTGAACTCACAGAGATCCGCCTGCCTCTGCCTCCCGATTGCTGGGATTGAAGGCGTTTTCACCACACCCAGCTAAAATATATTAAATCTTGAAGGGAGTTTTGACCAAAACTTGTAAATATTTAGACATTTGACTTTCTTTATTTCTTCTCTTCATTTCTCCTCTGTGTCTCTATCTCTTAAAATATTGGAGTGACTGTAGCAGACACAAGAGCAGTTGCAGCCATAGTTTAAGTTTCAATATTCCTGTTTCTTTTTCATCTCCCCTAAGTGACAGAAGGGTTCAAACCAAACAGGCATTATATATCTTTTGGAGCTGGAAAGAAAACTCTCTTCAGTGTCTTAATCAGCTCAGTATGAGAACTAGAGTGAATATGAGTTTTCTTCATGCATCTTCTGTGAATCTTAAAGCAATTTGACAGATTTAGTGTCCAAATAACCAGAGAATATAATTTCAAAGGAATCTTTCTGGAGTGAACACCAAGTTTGCTCAAACAAGGAGAAATCCCTAAGTGAGGATTCTTAGATGATTGTCAAGCTGTGAAGATTTCTGGCCCAGATAATTTTATTTTAAAACAGAGAACAAGCAAACAGTCTTACTGTTTTTTTTTTCTTGAATACCTAAAGAAAGACAGTAAATACTATGGATTACCAATCAGTTACAGCCTAGAATGTTTTTGTTACACTTTAAAAGCCTGGGTTATGAAGAGTTCATACTTCTGTGGTGTCGGGAGCCACCACAGGGCAGTGGAAGTGGGAGAAGAAAAGCATCTGAAACATCATTGGGCATTATCTTTATTGGGGTAAGGAATGGTCATACTTAAGCAGGAGGAATGTTCTAGAATTTCCAGCACAGACAGTAGTTCTTACTGCTTAGCATGGCCCTTCAGTTATGATTTCAGTTTAAATGAAAACGTTAATGCCTACAGATAGAAAACCCTTAGTGTTATTGCCCTTCTAAAACACGTGGCCTTTATCTTTTTGGCCAGCTTTTCTCTATCAAGCAAGTGCCATTCTTTGAGGTCTTTTGAAGATAACTGTGTTCCTATGTCCAGGGGTATGAAAAAAATGTTAAAGAAACTCATGCTAATGCTTCTCGGCCTTTCGGCTAAGATCAAGGGTAGAAACTCATGCTGCAGACTTATGCATTAATTAATACTTGGTGGCATTTTAGCTTAATACTCATGTTTTACCTTCATAGCTTTTTTTTTTCTCTCCATTAGGTGGAAGCCAGTCTGAGTCTGAAGTCAGACAGAAACAACAACTCCAACTGATGCGATCTAAATACCAGCAAAAGGTCAGAATCCATTCTTCCTAGTTTAATTTTGGCAAAGGATTTCAGTACCAACATTTTCATGTAACCATGAAAGAACATGGTGACTTTACCAAAACATAAAACCTTCAAATGAATTGCAAAATATGACTCTCAGAATTAAAGAAGTTAGAAGTAAGAAATGAGAGGAGGAAAATATCTAGACTTCTCACCCAAGCCACATGTGTATAAGCTTGCCCTTGGATTAAGGGAAGTTTATTCTTCCTATTTAAGTTAACTATATGTTAACCATAGTTTATGTCTACTGCATTTTAGTTCCAAGAATCTGATTTTGTTTACCCCAAGCCAGTCATGAAAGACGTACAAAAAATGATTTCAGATACCCAGTGATTTCTACAATGAGCATTATGAACTTTCTAATCAGGAAAAATTATCTGCCTTTTCCTCCTGCATGTGTGTATGTGTGTGCACATACCTGAGGGGGAGGGGAGAGGAAGAGATGGACACACACACACACACACACACAAAGTACATGAAGAAACACAGAAACATTTCTCAGGCAGGAGATGCAGACTGGCCTTTCTCTGCAATCTAAGTGGCTTGAAGTAACAACCTATAATCACGGTGAGGTATAACACAACAATACTGTAATTTGCCTTTCATCATAATTTTGTGTTCCAGAAGTTCAGACTGAAAAATGGTAACTGTTTTTTTCCCTCTGTAATCTCAATACAATTTAACTAAAGAGAGCTGAATCTATACAAATCAGGAAGGAAGCTGAAGAAGCTGAACTCCAGCGAATGAAGGCAATTCAGAGAGAGAAGGTAAGCAGGTGGAGAGGATGATTAGCTGATGTTTACTGAGGGCAGGGTGCCAGGTTCTCTTCTAGACCCTGTCCATGTGCTAACTCATTTAATCTGAGCTGTAATCTGATGAGGTGGGTATTATCCAATTGTGCTAATGAGGAAGTGACCCAGAGAGGGACGATAAGGTGCCCAAGGGCCCACAGCCATAATTAGAATAAGAGGATTCATATCCAACAGACTAGCCTCAGAGCTTGGGGTCCGAGTTACCACCCTGTTTCACCTTTTGGGCAAGTGATCAAAATATTAGCTGTCTATTTGGTCAGATGGTAAAGCAGCTAGTGCCAGTGGTTATCAGTGGTGAACTATCATATTCATATCCAAATGCTGGATTTTCCAGGGTGAGTGTGATGAAGGTAAACAGGCCCCTCTTGTAGAAGAAAGAGCATGCCTTGGCATTTCAGTACTAGTGAGTCTTGATACAGTGTCTAGAGCTTGGGGGAAAATCTGTACAAAGACTTATTTGAAGACGAAGGAACAATGTGGAGGTGGTATATCCCGATCCCTTTCTCCTACTTCCATTCACACAAACTCCTACAATAAAGGGAGCTTTAAGTATCAGAGGTTTGGGGGTCAAGGAGTTGGCTCATGATTCTGATCATCATGTGTGACACCTGCTGTAGATGCCAATTCAGGAAACAAAATTCTCTCTCTCTCTCTCTCTCTCTCTCTCACTCTCTCACTCTCACTCTCTCGCTGTCTTTCTGAGTCAGGGTCTCCCTGGAACTCACTTTGTAGACCAGGCTGGCCTTGAACTCATAGAGATCCACCTGCCTCTGCCTCCCAAGTGCTGGGATTAAAGGCATGCATCACCACACCTGGCTTTCTCTTTTAAAAAATATATTTTCAGTTGAATTTTGCTAATTTCATATAATACATCTTAGTCATATTTAGAACCCCTCCTCTATCTGCACCCACTGTAACCCACCCACCAGAAGACAAAATTCTTTTGCCTGCTGCCTGTCTTTTCTAGCCTCTTCCCTCCCTCCCTTTCTTTTCCCCACCTCTCATTTTCCTTTTAAGCTAAAGCACCAATCAAGCCGTAGATGTTTTTAAGCAATAGTTTTTTTTTTCAATTTTTAACCAGTTAATGAAGCCCAAAACTGACAGTTTGTAGAATACAAGTTTCCCCTTCCCTCAGGAATTCTCTTCTTTCAGTGAGCAATCTAGTCTTCCACTGGAAGGCATCTGTCATGCTGTCTGACCTTGGGCAGGCCCCTAATCTCTGAACTATTCCTGTAAAATGAGACTGAAAGTACCACCTTGTTTCCCAAGTCCAATAGCATCCTATTGCCATAGATATGCAGTGTTAAGACTGGACTTGCACATGAGGAACTGTGATAAAATGTTGGGCATGTATAAGAAGCATAGGAACTTCATTTACAAATTTTGATTCAATTGGATGACTATTACACAGATCTTTATTGAAAAAATTTATTTTTATTTACCTCTTTCTCTCTCTTTGTACTTTTCACCACACTTTTGTCCTTCACCTATCTCTTTTCTTCTACTCCAACAAGTCTGCAGCTGTGGTGGATGGGGAGGGGTAGTGTGCTGGATAGCTTTAGTGTCAACTTGACACTCCTGGACTGAGGGAGCCTCAAGTGGGGAATTTCCTCCATTGGACTGGCCTATGGCCATGTCTGTGGGGCATTTTCTTGATTATTGAGTGATGTGGGAGGATCCAGCCCACTGTAGGTGGTGCCACCCCTGGGCAGGTGGGCTTACATTGTATAAGAAAGCAGGTAGCATGAGGGCCAGAGGAGCAAGCCAGTAAATGGTGTTCCTCCGTGGCCTGTGCTCTAGCTTCTGCCTCCAGGTTCCTGCCCTGAGTTCCTACCTTGGGCTTTCTCAGAAACCAGCTGTGACTGGGGAGATGTAAGTTGAATAAATCCTTTTCTCCCAAAGTTGGTATTGGTCAGCATATTTGTCACAGCAATGGAGATACAAACTAGAACAGGGAGGATCTCCGCTTACATAGTCTGCCTGCTTTTCAAGTGGGACTAAGGAAGGCACCATCAGGAATTGGATTAAAGGCTTGTGGACCCTGAGGAATTATTGTGTTGCAGACTCTCATCTAGGTCATTTATTAGGAGTCATTTAACCACCACAATTGGCTGGGTTGTGAGTTGTTTTATAGTTTATTTCTTCATGGCCAATAACACACACTCTTCTTAAATATGTGGGTGAAATTCTGTTTTTTAACACTCATTAAAAGCAATATTTCTACTTTCCAAGTTATACCACAACTCTAGACCTAAAGCACTCTTTAAATACAGAACCATTAACTGGATTGGCTTCTCTGACTTGATAATTAGAATGGTTATGGCATAAATTTGCTGGAAAGAGGCAGAGCGGAGCCGGTTCCATAGCCCTTCCCTTTACAATGTGGCCCTTGGTTAAGCAGAATCAGCATCACCTGGAATTTGCTGAACCCACCTTAGACCTACTGCAAAGTGCTTCCTACCAAGTTCCCTGAGTTGGTTCCTATGAATACAAAGATTTGGGAATTTAAATGTTCTTCTGAAAGACAGCGCCACCTGCCCTGACTAGGACTTGATTTCTCTGGCTGATTGGCCTTCACCGTCACCAGGTCCAGCCCTTCTGTCGAATGTAAATCTGTGGCTTTTCATACTTACAAAAGCCTGTTTAGTGGCTTGCGTCAGATGGAAAAGTGGACGTTAGCCATCTAGAAGTGACATAGTCCACATTGCCAGTGTGATAATGGCCTAGGGAAGTGATAATGACTATGCTTATGGAGCACTTATTCTTTAAAATGTACAGCAAATACACAGACACCAGCTTGCAGCCCTCTGCCCTCCTCCCCTAGCAGATGGCTATTGCCCACAAAGTCTGAGACAAGGTTAGGACAAGCAGCTACTGCCACCCAGGAGCATCTAACTTAGACATTGGTTTTGACCTCCCTCCAATTTTCCTCCTCTCAGGAGAGATTAAAAGGGGACACTGGGTCTCATTCTGAAGGGTCATCAGCTGTGTGTGTGTGAGAGAGTAAACTTTATGAATTTTTTGCATGCTCATTGATTTTTAATAAATAGGAGGGTAGAGTGGTGGCCAGCTCTTCAGCATTCAGTTATGTGAACAGAACCCAGGAGAGTTATCCTAGGGGCATTTGGACTGGACATTGGAATGCTTTGGTCAAACTTACATTCCCTAGACTAGAGAATATTGATGCCATTATTTTAGCTTCCAGTGCTGAGCTTGAACACCTTGCATTGGCTTTTGAGAATGGATTAATAAATGTTCAGATTTTTCTGAGTCAGTCCTTTCAGGGCTGAGGGGAGCAAAGATCTTATACCTGGCATTTCATGTTCATAACTTGAGACTGTCTACAGTGGGCTTGTTTATACTACAGAAACCACCAAATGCTACAAATCAGTATCCTATTAATTTTCTCCTGTGATAAGATATCTGACAGAAACAACTTAAGGAAGGAAAGGTTTCAGAGGGATTTCCATTTGGAATATTGGGACGGGCAAAGCAGAGCAGCTTGGTCTGTGGCAGTGGGAACACAAGGTAGTGACAGACAGGATGCAGAGACTGTAGGCAGAACCAGAGGTGGGTATTGCTTTCAAAGGTCCACGCTTAGTGATCCACTTCTGCCAGCCAGGCCTCACATGCTAAATGTTCCACAGCCCTCAAAATAGCATCATAAACTAGGGACTGAATACTAAAAACATGAGCCTGTGGGGTACGCTTCAGATTTAAACCTGAACAGTCCTGTTCTCCCTTCTGTCAGAGCAGGTTGTTAAATGGTCACTAGCACCCACTGCTTAGAAATAAATGGAAGTGGTAATCTCTTACCTTCTCTCTCCTACCACCCACATTTCAAAGCCAAACCTTACAGGGCCAAGGAAGGTACAATTTTATACCTGGCATCTTGTATTTGAGGCTTTATTCCACGCTAGACTATAATTCATGTGCTCAGCATGATAATAACCCCTTCACTCTCAAGATTTTCAAGTTTTAGCCCTTAAAATCTTAAGAATATTTTTTACATGGCAAAGAGGAATTAAATTCACAAATATAATTAAGGGTGCTAATCAAATTGGCCTTAAAATAGGGAGACTGTCTGGTAATAGCAAAGTGAAACCAATGTAATTACAGGGGCCCTTAATTGGAAGAAGCAGGCAGAGAGGACAGAAGGGATGACAACAGGAGACAAATTCAGCCTGCCATGGCTGACTTTAAAGATGGAAGGGGCCATTTGCCAAGGAATCTGGAAAAAGCAAGGAAACTTTCACCTATAGTTAACTAGAAGGAATACAGCCCCTCTGACTCCTTGATTTTAGCTCACTGAGACCCTTCAGATAGTTGACCTCTGCAACTGTGAGATAAACCTATGTTGTTTAAGCTGCTGTTTGTGGAAGTTTGTTAGCCCTAGGAAACTACTACAACTCAAATGGATTTGTAGTTAGGCATTTCTCCCCCTATTATGGAGAGACAGTGCATTAAAAATATTAGAGCAACAGAGTCATTAAAAAGGAAGGCAAGGTATCAGATGCAAGTGCTTTCTCTTGGTTTTGTCCATAACTAACAGGTGTGTTTCACACTGCTGACAAAACAACTTAAAGCAAAGAATGATGTATATAGCACATCAATTCAGGATGTTTAGTCCATGGTCCCTTGGCTCTGTGTTTCTGGGCCTGCAGTAGACAGTAATTCATGGTGGAAAGGCATGGTGGAGGAAAGCTTCATATAGCATGGTAGCCAGGAAGTGAAGTAATGGAAAGGGGTCAAGATCCTTCAAAGTCATATTCATGTGGACTCACTGTCACCAACTAGGCCCCACCTTCTATAATTCTACCATCTCCTTATTTAAAACTTCTAAAACTTTTTGTTCTTTTGAGAAAAGGTATTATGAAGCCTAGAACTTTCTGTGTGGCTGAAGATGACCTTGAAGTTGTCTTTGATCCTTCTGTCATCTCCCAACTGGGACTGTAGACATACTATAGTCTGATTGGTCCTGGAGTCAAATTTGAAATCCATCAGTGGATTAATCCATTCATGAAAACAGCCTTCAAGATGTTGTCACTTCCCTCAAGACCCAGCAGTAACTATTGCTTGCATTAGGGAACCAAGCTTTTAATACATGAATGTTTTGTGGGGATACTTCATATCCAAATGATATTTTGCCCCTGGCTGTTAGAAGGCTCATGTCCATCTCAGATTGGAAAATGTATTCATTCTGTCTCTTAAGAGTCCTCATAGTTTAACAATTCCAACATTGCTCAAAAGTCTAAGATCAAAGTCTCCTCAAAGAGCAAAGGCAAACAGCTGTCTCTGTAGCATAAAAACCAGGTTATTTATTTCCAGGATTCAATGGCATAGAATAAACATTCCCATTCCAAAAAGGAGAATTGGACCAAACTGAGAGAGAAACCCAGGAGGGTAGACATTAGATCCCATGGCTCCATGCAGCATCTGGGCCATGCAATGTCATGATGTGAGCTCCGTTGGACTTGAGTAGTCCACCCCTACAGCCTTGCTGCCTGCAGCCCACATGGTCTCTCTCCAGGCTGACTCTACTTAACTATCACCAGCTTTCCTCAGCAGATTTTTCCTGATCCTTGGCACGCCACTACATTTCAGCTTACTCTCATAACTTCATGCATTGCCCCCCTTGAGGGCTACCCACAGTGACTCTGACTCTGGTGCACCTGGATCGGCCTCTCAGACTTTCCTTTTTGATCGGAATGGAAGCCTCCATGGCCCCACAACTCTTAAATTTGTCCTGAGTGGCTACAAAAACAGCATCACATAGATGACATCGGGGTCTGACACCAGCTTGAGCCATAGCTGATCTTTCCTGGATTACATCTGCAGTAGCTAGCAATAGTGTCCTGAAACTGGTTTCACATTTTCTTCCTCACGATCTCCTGTTCTTAGATATGATGCATTCTGCATTTGTATTTGTGCAAATATGTTTGGGTGAGACTTTAACTCACCATTAAATAGAAAAAAAAATTCTGACTAAATGTGACTATATTGATATAAAAATTGGTGCCATGGCTGGGCATGGTGGCACACACCTTTAATCCCAGCACTTGGGAGGCAGAGGCAGGTAGATCTCTTGTAAATTCAAGGCCAGCCTGGTCTACAAAGTGAGTTCTAGGTCAGCTGGGACTACAGGGAGACCCTGTTTCAAAAAGATTTAAAAAAAAATTGGTGCCTCCATTGGCAGCTATTGGATGCAGTTCCTCAAATATGCCAGTATTTTTCAAGATACTTGTTCATTCGTTTCTGCTGAGGGATTAATAGACTGTTACTGGGTAAATTTAGCTACTGTGTCCAAAGCGTCCAAAAGTCAGGTCCTCATTCTTGTATGGCAGGCACTTATGGATGGAGCCATCTTCATGGCCCCTCATTTTTTTAATTTTATTTTATGTGTATGAATGTTTTACCTGCATGTATGTGCACCATATGTGTGCAATACCCTCAGAGGCCAGAATGTTATGGAGTGACTTGGAATTTATTTGTTTTTTTGTTTGTTTGTTTTGTTTTGGGAGTCATTTTTAACAGGGTTTCCCTAGTCCCAGCCCACTTAGAACTCACTATGTAGACAAAGCTGGCCTTGATCTCTGCCTCCCGAGGGCTGAAAGTTGGAGTCTATTAGTGAAGAGATTAAACCTGGTTTTCTCAATTTCTGACCTTGCTAAAAAAAAACCTAGCCTTTGTCCCTAGATCCCTGTGACTATCTCACCTTTTTCTGAGGAGATTCCTGACCTTAGTTTAATCAGTACATTCTATTTACTTTCTGCCTTCCACCCTTTTGATACCCTCACCCAGAATTGTAGAGCGCTCACCCAATTCAGCACATTTGGGTTCATGATTCAGGACTTTATCTAGACTAGAATACTTACTCGGTTTTAAATTCTCCTTTCATTTCCTTCCTAGAATTCTATTCCATTAAGAGTCCAATTTCTTGCTGTGTAATTGATTCTCTTTGACTCTAGAAAACTTCCTATAGTATTTTTTAAAGAACAAAACACCTGGGACTAGAGAGATGGCTCAGTGGTTAAGATCATGGACTGCTCTTGCAGAGGAGCTGGGTTCGATTCCCAGTAACCACATGGTGGCTAACAACCATCTGTAACTCCAGTTCCAGGGGAACCCAACACCCTCTTCTGATCTCCATGGGCATTGCATGACATGTGTGTACTTACAAACATGCAGGTAATGCATTCATACACAAAAAATAAAAAAATAAAAAATAAAATATAAAGAAACACCCCCCCAAAACCCCAAACATCTATTTTGCCTGTCAAAATGGAAAAGAATAAAGACTTTGATGGAAATGTACAATATAGTTTTTTCCCCCTTTCTTGAACGATGGAGCCAAACTTCCATCAGAGTTTAAAAATGATGGTTTTCGTTATTATTTTATCACAGATCTTCCTCTGGGTGAATGCAATTTTATATTAAACCCAGTTGTTCTCTCTCTCTCTCTCTCTTTCTCTCTCTCTCTCCCTCTCCCTCTCCCTCTCCCTCCCCTTCCTGTGCCTGCTTAAATCCCCCTATATCATTTAAAACTTCACATATCTTCTGTGTTGTAAAATTTGTTTGACTCCTTATTAAATTTTTTTGTCAAAAAATTTTACTTCTTTTTCTTAGGCACATTTAAAAAATGACAGTGGTGTCATGGAGAGCAAAAAGCAAGTGTTTTGGATTATTTAAATTGGGTTAAAATATGCCAGAGCTATGGTGACAGTAATATCAAATATGAAGTCACTTCTCTGTAGACTCTCTAAACAGCTAATTAAGAAAAACACCCTCTTTTCTATTCAAGTGGATGGCTTTTTTTTCAGACATAAGCTCTTCAGTCTCTCAATAGCTTTAAGTATCTAAGTCAGAAGGGAGTTGAGTTGGCTTATTAACTCTTTTCCTGGGAGCTTTGGTAGAATGTGATGTATGTATAACTTTTGTATGAATGATTTAACTGTGTATTGTTATAATTTTAATTTAATATATTTGGTATGGAAATTTTTGTTTCCATTAGATCATTTTGCAAACACTGCTTTAAAAGTATATGTTGCTATCATCTGGACTGGAATAAAAATGTGAAATTTTGATTCTTCAATTTAACCAGTCAAGTTGTATGGGGAGCTTTGGAAAGAACTGGGGGATTTTAGTGTAGTGTTCATGTGTTCTGAGAGGGGATGCAAACTTGGAATCTCTGGGACCACTGGAAGTCAAGGATTTGGGGTTTTGGATAACCTCAATTTCATGATTCTACCTAAAGCTTCCTTAAGAAATTCCATTTTGATATTTGCAATTTCAGAGCAATAAGCTAGAGAAGAAAAAGCGACTTCAAGAAAACCTCCGAAGAGAAGCGTTTAGAGAACATCATCAATAGTAAGTGTTCTCAGAGCCTTTTCTTTCCTGGCATAGTGTCCATTCAGCTTTTGGCTTCTAGATGATGACAACTTTTCAAACCTTTGGTGTTCAATTATGGGCATTATATTAGATATAATAATTGAGCTCTATCATCTCTGAGGATCTGAGATTGTGGACACATGTGTTCATCAAAGTAATTTCTACTTTCAGCTGATGAGCAATAATCTTACTAAATTTGAGGGGCATATCACTACAGGTGAGTCAGAGGACTTGATTCCAGATTATTTCTGATTATGTTGGTTTCCAAGAAATTGATGTAACTAGGAGAGTAGTTGAGATGAAATACCCAAGAGAATCTAAACTACATAGGATTTAATCTAATGGACTGGAGACTATTTTACTGTGGTAGTTTTCCTAGCCAAGAATTAAGATGTGGCTGGAAGATGGCTCAGTGGTTAACAGCACTGGCTGCTCTTGCAGAGGACCCAGGTTCCATTCCCAGCACCTACATCGCGACTAACAACCATCTGTAACTCCAGGTCCAGGGAAATTCAAAGCCTTTTCTGACCTCTGCGGGCCTTGCATGACCTGGGTGTACTTGCATATGTGCAGGCAATACACTCATACACATAAAAGTGATAAAATATTTTTAAAAAGAATTGAGATGTCACTAATTATTTTTGAAACTTCCAATTGACGATCATAAATAAGGTATTTTTTCTATAAGATAACTTTTCTAATATGATTTATAAATAATATTTGCTATGTCAATATTAAATAGTATTGGTACATATGTTTTATAATACTGATAACCTACTCTGTTATAGTCTTTAAAGATAAACTCATATCCTGACTCTTGGTATTTAGGTTACCTGAGTACTAATTAAAAGCAGACAGAAACAAAGAACTATGTTTCTGACTCTATGTAATTCTAAATGTGATAGAATTAGCAGCAAGCAGACCTGTGTTCAGAATCCGAGCTTCATTCCTCAGCTATGACCTTGAGCAAACAATTAAATCCCTTTGAACTTGTGTTTGTTCATTTGATTTTCATTTTCAAAATAAGGATGCTAATATTTGTACTCCAGACTGAATGATTTAACTAATGGTTTTAAAAGGCCTAACTATTCCAGGGATTTGGAATGGCATTTCTAACAGAAGTCGTTGTTGGATGGGCTCATCATACAACTTTATTTGGTAGAGACTGTAGGGTAAATCTCTGCTCCCATCAGAAGTAGTAACTGGACTTGGTTTTCATCTGTGCTGCTCACTGACTGCTCCATGTTCTCTTTCCCTACCCTTGTGCCCCATTTATAGAATTTAGGGTGACTCCGATGTTGTACTACTGCACGTGTCTATGACATTTTAGAGTATTTCTTCTCTAGTATAGCATCCTCTGGTTTTCCCATAGCATCAAGATTATCCTGCCTCTATCATAAGCTTTCCTTCTTCCTTTAAGACTCAGAGAAGTTTCTCAGCCCTGTACAGTGGTCCTTAGCAAGTTAAGTTACAGGACTGGGAAGTTGATGGAGTCTTTACTTTGGTGAGTTGAACCAGGCAAGGCGAAGGAGGAGAATTTCTTGGTGTTTTCAAAGGTTGGAGGTTGTTCTGTTCGGCCTTTTTTCTTTCAAAGTCTTCCAGCTCCTTGAGTTTGTGTTTTACTAAATACTAAAGATCAATCATCTTTTTTTTTTTTTTTCTGTACAGAAGAAAAGAAGGCTTTGCTCTCAGCTGCCTCACATACTATCAGCAGAGTTGAATTCAATTACACGCACATTTCACTCTTGCTTTTTCTTTCCCTTATCGTGAAAGTTTGAAGTTAACCCGGAAAAGGAGAAGCTACAGAAATGGGAAGTATTGCAAATTGATTTTTAAAGCCTATTGAGAAACACAGAAGAGGTATAAATGTGCAAATTTTCTTTAAAGAACATTGTGTCTTGAATACTATTGAAATTAAAAGATCAATAGTTCATGAAATGAATGACCATTATAAAGCTAGAAATATGAAAAGAACTTCTCAGAAAAGGTGAATCCTCTCTATAATAAGTCTTCACCAAACTTTCTTAGAACCAGTTTGTGGTGAAAAAAATATCTAGGAAAGATGTTAGAATTTTAACAGCACAGAGATTTCACTAGACCAATCAGACAGTCTGTCTCCCACGCCCCAATGAGATTCCCTTGAAGCTGTCAAGTGAGGGAACACAAAATAGAAACTAAATAAGCAATTCCTCCAAAGGAGACAATACCTCGCTTCAGCATGCTGTGATAGGTGGTATAAACCACAAACCAGGAACAATGTGTTTTTCCTGTGGAGGAGAGTAGCCATGGACTTGAGTGGACTGTAAATCCATTCCTAGCAAAAAGGCTCACAGTGGCCACCTGAGGCACACCCAGAGCATCTTAATGCATTCTTTCTTCACACCTTGTTCCTGACTCTGTTCATTTGCTTCTGATTATTTTTAGTGTTGTCAATTATTTAGCTAACAGGCAGAAAACTAGGCTTTTATTGACATCCAAAGGCACTCTCCTGAGTATAATAATGAAGGCAGTTTATTGAATGCCTGTGAGGTTGCTTTCTAATTGTACACATTAATCTGCCCATGCAAGCTGGCTGAAAATACACAAGCAGATTGCACATACAGATGGAGCACACAGGATGGTTTTTATGAAAAGACCTCTGCAATGTACTTCTGCAGTACTGTCTTTTCCTTAAAAATCGAATGACTGTGACTATTTCAATTGGTGTCTGAGAGCAGACCAGATTAATGATGCATTAAGTCTGCCACTCTGGCTGGGGACATACTCCAATTTCACAATTCAGAATTAGTTCTAGGATTCTTGAACCTGAAAGCAGAGGGTAGAAATGGGTATTTAATCTTGACATAGTTTTAACCATCGCTTTTAGTCTCTGTAACTATTTACTGCCTATAAAAATTCAAATGTGATGTTTCTCAGGGTAGCCTTTCCTGTTAGCTGAGAGCACAGAAAGATGTCTGGATCTGAAGGAACAGTGAATAAACCTCCATTTTTATCATCAAAGAGAATGCTATAATTTAGGTTATTTAGAACATTGGGTAAAATAAATCTCAATATTTTAAATCTCAATGATAATTTATCAGGTGGTTTTCATTTTTCTAAATGTGTATTTTTGGGTACATTTTGGAAGGAGTTTGGGTTTTGAGTTGATTAAATAGTGATAGAATGAGGGTAGGGTTGGGTCAGGCAATTTGTATGCAGGTATTAGAGAAGTTGTATTTAAGATTTTTCTGTAAGCATAGGAACTATCTATGTTTTAAACATTTAAAATTGCAACTCATTTCTAGTAATCATTTACTGTAAGAGAGCATGCATTTATGTAGTTAAAAAGTGCTTGGCTTTTTCAAATCAAAGTAATAAGAAGCTGCCATGTAATTGAGAAACTGAATGCCTGTCTCCATATTAAGCATATTATTTAGCCTTTAAAAAATTGAATCTCCAGATTAAACTTATTATAGATGGAGGCTTGAGTAATTGAAACTTTCCAGTTACAGACACAGTAAGTGATGCAGCCAAATTTAAGTCCTGAGATTTGGGAGACTTTGGAAAATAGATAATGTGAGGGCATAGTGTTCTATGAAGGTCAGGAAGATCAGGGTGGATGGGGTGGTGAACCCTGTGGTGACATGAGTATTTGTGATACGAGCTATTGGAAAGGGTAGGCCAGGTAAAGACAGAAACTTGACCAAAGCTGACTTCTATTTCTTTCTATCAAGTTCTAAATTTTGTCTAGAGTAGGGAAAAGGCTGAAAAAATTAATGTTTTCTCTCCATTCATCACATATGAGCACACCTTCCTAGGTCCAACCCTGGGTTAGTCCCATAGTTGATCTCCATGTAGGGTGATGGGTATTCATGATCTGAGTTGTGCTCTTCTTCCAGGTAACAGATGCTGGCATTGCTTAACAGAGATAAGGGGCTCAATTAAAAAAATAATTGTCTATTCTTTCACTTATTTGTGTATGTGTGAGTTCAGTGTACATGTGGAGGGTGGAGGATAGCATTCAGGAGTCAGTTCCTCCTTCTACTGTGGGATCCATGGTGGATCGAAGTGAGGTCATCAGATTTGTGAGGCAAGAATCTTTTTACCTGCTAAGCCAGCTCCCCAGTCCAGGGATCTTAATGCTTTTGTTGTTGTTTTGTTTTTTTGAGGCGGGGTCTCCCTGAGCTCCAGATGGCCTGTAACTTCCTATGTAGACCAGGCTAGCCTAGAGATTCACCTGCTTCTGCTGCCTAAGTGTTGGGATTAAAGGCATGGACCACCATGCTGGGCTATGGGCTCTTAATTCTTAAAGCCTCTTAGAACTAAGCCTATTCCCAACTAGGACCTTCTTATTCTTAAACTGCCACACCCCTCCTCCAGCTCTTCCTGGTGATTGTAATAGTGAGAAATTGTCTTCATTTCCACCACTGGAACCATGCGTCTCTTTTACTTCCACTTGAATGATAATGTGTGCTTAGTTCCTTGGAGGCACATCTTCATCTATTTTAGTTTCCTAGAGCTGAGGATCCAGACAAGTCTGCTGAATATGCACACTTTGGCCCCAAGTTTGCCTTCTAATATGCTCACAGAACTTCTAATGTCCTTCATGGGAACTTCTGAAAGACACTTAAGGGCTACAGTGCTCCCTTATCCATATGGTAGGCTTAAATCCAACCTTGAATTTTATAATTTAGGTAAGGTGACTGCAAAGTCATCCTATTCATAACTTCTCAGCGTATGCTAATGAAGTGAACTTATGGATATAAAAATCGTGTATCTATTTTGTTCAGCTGAGAGCGAAGAGCTTATGAAAAGTTTGGTCAGAAGAAATCCTTTATTACTGAATGTTAAATCATGTTGATGATTAGAGGCATATCAAAATTTCTACCCTGCTGACATCCTAACTCATTTGATTTCCAGGACTACTACCTTCATGTTAGTACTTACTACATGCCACTTGAACTATTGCCTGTGTCTGAGCTCTTTGGTCACCCCTAGAC